AGAGTGAGAGGAGTTTTGCACAATCGTAGTGCACACAGCAGTAGAGGTTGACTTCTGAAAAACACTCAGGGACAATGTGTGGCAAGGGGAGGCAGAGAGATCCAGCTTTGCTTTCCCTTCCTATTTTTATTTACCATATTGTTTTGTGCATAAGATGCCCCCATGTATAAGATGACCTCCCTTTTTTCAACCCAAAATTAAGAAATTAAGTTGTTTAGCTTTTAGGGGGTGGGGAGGTCACTTCCGCCAATTGCTCACCTGCCTGCCCGCCACTGCCGATCGCTTGCCACAGCCACTGCTGATCGCACACGTCGCCGCAGCCGCCAATTGTCTGCCCGCTTGTCACCACCAACAGCCCACCCGCCCACTTGCCGTAACCACCAATCACCTGCCCAATTGCCGCAGCCACAGCCAATTGCCAGCAGGCCTTGCCGCAGCCACCAATCACCCGCCCAATCGCTGCTGCCAATCTTCTGCTTGATGCTGCTATTAATCACACGTCCCCCCTCTGCATTCACTGTCTGAGTATAAGACGGCACCCAATTTTTGCCTCTTTTTTTTTTTTAGCAAAAAGCATTGTTTTATACATGGAAAAATACGGTATTTATTTGTTCCTCTAACCACTTTTTTAGTTGGGACTTCTTCCCTCTTGAAATTGCTTTCTGGCTATTTATCTCTTTGTTTTCTTTCTTGGCTTGTCCCCTCACCATTCCCTGCCCCCTTTTGCCTTTACCCCTAACTCCATCTTCTCTTTCTCCCCATTTTCTCTTCCACCTCTCTCCACCCTCCGCCCTGCTTGCTTCTGATCTTTCGCTTCCTTCCCTTTCCATTTATCCGCACAGCCCAACACTTAGGAATTCTTCTCAAGCAAGCTTAGGCTGTGTGAGTGAGAGTGAGGTTGTGGGGGATGTGCAAGCCAATTAACGAGACTCAGATAAGTATGAATAGAATTACAGCCTTAGAAAGGAAGGGGAGAGAAAATCAATGGAAGTAGGAACTGGATTAAACGTGTGACAGGTGTAATAAGACTTTTTAGACTGTTGCCCAAAGGTGGGGTGGAGGGGCCAATCATCATACCTTGTAGAAGGTCCGGAAAAATCCCTTTGGCATCCCCAGTCACAGTTTTACCTGGTGTTCCATCTCCACTAAAATATGTGACAGATCCTGAACCTCAGAATTGAAGAGCCAATATTGAATAACCAAAGCAGAATGTTTCAACTGTTGAGAGGAATATACGCACAAACACCGAAACTCCAGAACAATGTTGAAACCACTTACATCGGAAATTAGATAGCAGCTTGCAAATTTGTGAATCAACATCAAGCATTCTGTGGTGCCGACAATTATATTAATGTGTAGTCTTCCTTTCAAGAACCTCAATGAAATCATCAACTTGATGTGTGATGGCATAGAAAATTCAAACCCCACAACATCATTACCTTGTTATTTCAACCCAGAAGAAGCACAGCATATATAAGGAATAAACAAAGGAGTTATTATGAATGACTCTACTGACTGAATATTTCACAATAATCATTACCTTGCTGTTATTCTACAGTACAGGTGGTTATTTATACTTTCTGAATCTGCAATTCAGAATTCCATTCAGCATCTCCATTGAAATGAATGGACACGGGATGGGCTTTATACCAGAGGATCAATGCAGTTTTTAATTAAAAAGTCCCAAAGATGTGCACAGATTGATGAAAATCTTAGACTCTGTTTAAATCAATGGGAGATTTTCAGTGATTGACTGGATTATGGCTATTTAGTGTCTAGTTTCAGATCCCAAATCTATTCATGTTGTTTAGACTTTAATATTGACTTAGGGTTTTGTAAACATCTCATGAATGCTTCTGTGCCTGCAATAAGGATTTGAGTCAATATGTTGAAAATGTAGCCTCATGTTGGGTGTTTTGACTTTTTTTTACTGTTTAGAAATGTGCTCAGAATCCTCCACCCTATTTGTGGATGGAGACAAGTTGGGGGACTGTTTTACTGACTTTCCCCAACAGTTTCTCAGGGGTAAGTATAAGCAATTCTGTCCACTCTGGTTTCTCTCAGCTGCACCCCCTCCCCTTCCTGGCTGTAAAAAAATACATTACTAAAGGAAAATAACTAACTGTAATGCCAGCTGGGACAGGTCAGGAATGGCTGGTTCTGTCTGAGGAGGAGGAAGTGGGTCCAAAGGTTGATAATGGGGGCAGCTCATAGAGTGACTCAGAAGGTGGTTCTGCCCCCTTCGTAGTCAGATGTCACAGAAAGGGAGGGGAAGCCATCTGGGTCAGTTTCTACCCTGCATCCTGACAGCAAAGCTCTCTTGTTAGCTGAGGAGGTGGCTGGCCAATCGGCAGACCTGGCCAAACCAGAACTGGGAAGTTAAAGGGCTGTCCTGTTGCCATGCATGTGATGTCATCTGCAGTGGCACAAAGAGACCTGGCCTCGCCCCTGCCCCCCGTAGGAATGTGCACTTGCAAGCACAGTCTTCTTGCTTGAAATGAGAATTGTGCAAATGACTGGTCTTGCCCTGCTCTTTAACACTAGGGTAAGAGGGGTGCACCACTAATGCCCAGCCAAGAGCTTGGTTTATACACTTTTGAACTGTGCATCCATCAGCTGTGCAGCAGCTCTCATCCCCATCACCTGCTACTGCAGTGGTGCACGTGCACATATGCATACATGGCCATGTGCTAGCCATAGAGGGGTGGGAGGGAAGAAGGTTTATTGAGTTGCATGCCAACCTCCCATCACTGCAAATGAAGCTGCAGCTTCGTGCATGGACTGCAAGAGCCACATTCTTGCATGTGTGCACTGCAATGCATTCTGCATGTACAGGCTGCAAGAACTGCATTCTCAATAACTGCTAGGAAAATCCTGGGCAAAACTCGTAATGGGCAATGCTTTGTCTTCAACTAGTCCCCAGTCCCCATCACCCCCTGAAATTGTCAACCTTGTCAGAAACTCTGTTGCTGTTGTGGGAAATGGAGGATCGGTTACAAACTAATATGTTAGCTGAAGAGATTCCCTGGTGGTGGCCTAGCAAGTGGTTAGCATGTGTTTGAAGAGCCCATAATCCTCTGTTTAAACAACACTCCTTAATGACTCATTCAGCACCATTGGAAAGCACCAAGTAAACACTGTGGCTAGAAAAGTCTGCTACTCTATATTTACTCACTAGACTGGTTGTTAAGGAAATTAGGAAATGCTCTACAGACAGCAAGGATGTTAAACACTCTGCAGCATATGCTCGGCCCCAAGTTAATGCTCTCACTTCCCGACAGTGGAACCCAAGAGCCGTCCATTCACAAAGAGGAGTGCCAAAGTCATGAAAAACTAAAACTCACCAAGACTGAGTGTCTTCTAAACAATCATTTTCAGTCTTTTGAGCTCAGGGACCTTTTGTAAATCTTTATGACCTTATTGCTGCTCAGAAAATAGCTTCGAAAACAGAAGTCATGGCTGCCTGTGATCCTTTTGTGCTTCAGTTTTGGGTAGTGACTTCAGGGTTGAGAAAGGTCTGCTCTGTAAGATCTACCATAATTGGGTAAAAGATCATGGTGAGAGATGGGTTGGAACCAAACAGCAATTTTTACTGACCATCAATCTCTCTCCCCCACCTCCCAGCATGGACTGGACTAGAAACCACGCCAACTTGAGTCGGATTGCAGATGTGCAGCAGCTGTATTATACATTGGTAGTATAATAAATCCAATGGCTGCACCAAGATCCCATATGTTGTTCATATATTGAGCATATAGAATTATGCATGTGTTTGTTTGATTTCTAGCCCACCTTCCAGTGTAAAAATAATCACAGAATGGATGATAAGATTCTTTAAAATATGCATTGTCTACCTCTGTTCTAATCCTTCAGGATTCAAGTTGAGATTCAAATTTATTAGCAATTCGTTTATATGCTTGGTATCAAAATCGCACTACAACTTCACATATTTCCATAACTCAGAGAACTGCCTATCCTGAATCAGCCTAGGGGTACATCTAGTCTCAAACTATGGAAGGAATTCAGTGCCAACCCTGACCCTCCAGAACGGATATGGAGAAGGGGAAGGGGGCATACAGGGGGAAGAGAGGAGCTAAGCCCCATTGAGCTCTTTTTCTAGTGCACTGGGTGGTTGAATCTGGGCCTATGTCTCCAACAGTGGAATGTGGAATCTGAATGTGTATTGTGGATACCTATTGGGCTGTGCCTGTGACAAACAAAGCTTTGTCCTTTGAACTATTCATGAGTTGGGGGAGGGTATCCGTGCGTTGGCCACCCCCACCCATTTACCATCTTGCACAGAGCCCTTTTCCTTTGTTCCCCTTAAAGGCTCATCACCCAGGCAATCGCCTCACCAGGAAGATAGCTTGACTTGTATTTCAACACCAGGGGAATCAAATAATCCAGGGGTCAGAAGGGTCTTGGCATACAGCCTACTCTCCCACCCAAAGTCATAACAATACTTTGCTTTTAGAAGAGCTTTACATTTTCAAATGATGTGTCCAAAGCATTAACTAATCAAGCATCAGACCTCCAGCGAGACGAAGGCAAGTGTTGCGTTTGAGTTGGATAATAGCTAATCTCTTGTTCAAGCAATGTCATTCTTATTAACTGTTCATGAATGTCCGCTAAACGATTGCCAAATTAGCAATGGCAATTATTATTTAAAATTATTCATCACCATTTATTTCTTCAAACAGCCCTTCTTTCCCAGTGTGCTTTCAGTCTGTGCAGATTTGGAGTCTGTGCCAACATGGCAACGCTGCAGGCAGGAGAATCAGAAGGTCTTTTCTCCATTTCCTGATTGGTAGTTTATGGGGTTGCCCTAACGAAGGATGAAGCGTTCACGGCCAATTTTTCATTACTATAACTAAATAAATACAGAAATAAATCAACGAGATAGCATATATGCTGCTTATCCCTGATAAACATAAGAATTGTAGAGCTGGAAGGGTCCACACGGGTCACTTAGTCCAACTCCCTGCAATGCAGGAATCTTCTGACCAACGTGAGGCTCCAACTCACAACCCTGAGATTAAGAGTCTCATGCACAGCCAACTGAGCTCTCTCTCTCTCTCTCTCCCTTTCAGAATACACAATCCTTCCCCAAGCTGCTGTCCTCCAGCTGTTTTGGACTACAAAGCCCATCAGCCTCAGACAGCATATTCCGAACTTTAAAATGGAAAGCGTAATGCTGGTGGTCAACAAAAGAGGTTTAAAGACTGTCTCAAGGCATATCTTTAAAAATGTAGTATACACACTGACAACTGGGAAACACTGGTCTGTGAGCGCTCCAGTTGGAGAACAGCCTTTACCAAAGGTGTCATGGGCTTTGAAGACACTCAAACTCAGGACGCAAGGGAGAAACATACTAAGAGGAAGGCACGCTTGGCAAATCCACACCGTGATCAACTCCCGCCAGGAAACCAATGTCCCCACTGTGGAAGGACGTGTGGATCCAGAATTGGCCTCCACAGTCATTTACGGACTCACTGTTAAAACCGTGTTTATGGAAGACAATCTTACTCGGCTACGAGTGATTGCCGAAGGAGGAGGAGGAGAAGGCGTGATGGGAATTGTAGTCCAAAATACATGCTTTGTCCCAGGTGGGGAAGGCTGCAATATATCTGTCTATACTATATTGTTATGAGTTTGGGGGCGTGTGGGCTGTATGACTGAGCTCTCTTCTCATTCCTGGAACCGGCAAGGGTTAAAATTTAAGCAAAGGATTCAAGTAACTGAAACAGCAAGAAATAAAGATATCGCCAGCCTGCAGAGGCAGGCAGGCAGATTACCGCAGGGCAGGCTTTGCAAGCCTTGCTGCTCTGTTGCTGCTACTGGCTACTTTGGGAGATGGGTCGTGAGTGAGCATGCCGGCAGAGGGAATGGGGCAGGTGGCCAAGGCAGGTCTTCCTTTGCCCCCTACAATTTCCCCTTCATCAGTGGATAAGTACAGCAGCATCACCCAAGCATTGTGGTGGTACATGGGGTAGAGAAGACTCAAGAGGTAGACACTTCACTCCAGGTAGGGGGCAGACCAGGCTTGTCAAATCTGCTTTGCTGGGTGTGCATGTTTTTATGAGAAACCCCATCATCTACCAACCAGTGCCAAGTTCAAAAGACATAAGAGTTAGATTTTAAGAAAAGGGGGTTGCGCTCAGCTCATAGTTCTTCCACCCAAAAATTCACTCCAAGCTTTCTTCACTTCAGCAACTTAATTTAAGGAGGAGAAAGCACTTCTGTATTGTTGCCACCGTTAAAGATTTAGGAATCAGAAAGCACAGCCTTGCCAATCCACTGCAAAATAACACTCGGAGGTCCACCAGTAGATCCCAATCTACATTCTTCCTGCCATGCTTGACACATATGAAACCCCGACCACAATATGACCACGCAGCTTTATTCTGAGGATTGACTGACCAAAAGCAATGCAGATGTCTTAATTTTGCCTCTGCAAATCTGCACACAACATTTCGTACAATGTGATTGCTGCATTTCTCTACATCACTTACAGTGCAAGAAAATTAAAAGCCCCATTAAACATTGATGGCAGCTATTCCACAGTAGTAATATTTGACAGCAACCATTAGTGGGGGGTTTTAATTAAACAAAAGCTCCAGCGATGACTGTACACTTTGACCTCCCTGTAACGATATTGCCCATTTATAATCAAATGGAATAGCTCAAATACTTCTTAAATCAAGTAGAAGCCAATTCTCAAGGATGCCAAGTAGACTAAAACTTGCAAGCAGGCGACCATATGCTGCCATATGCATGTGTTCCAAAGCTTTTCCCAATAGGAATAACAGTTTCCATCTCCTAGGCAGCAGCAGGATGAATGTAACCAATAGCAATGCAACAGGGATACCTATTGATAAAGACTTGGCACAATTTCCATGTGACATTTTGCAATGTAGAAACAGCCAGTGATACTTTTTGGGAGGCATGGCGATTCCTTATGCTGCCCCCCCACCCCGATGTTTTATTATTTTAGGAAGTGCTTCTGAGATAGCATCCATCTCCATCTCAGTAACAAGCTCCTCTTAATTCCTTTGACATCGTGCCAGCACTGTCTCTCTTTCCTTTACAAAGGTCTTCTCTATGTTACAGTTTATCACATGCTGACTTCAGGCAAGTGTGCATGAAGGCTTTTCATGGGTGGCATCTCAGCTGTGGAATAAGCAGTGTGGCACAGTGGTTAGTGTGTCAGACTAGGTCCTGGAAGACCAAGGTTCAAATCCTAGCTCAGCCAAGAAGTTCACTGGGGGACTTTGGGTCAGTTGTTGTCTCTCAGCCTGATCTACCTCACAGGGTTTTTGTGGGCATTAAATGAGGAGGGGTGAACCATGTAAGATACCTTAGACTCCTTGGAGAAAAAGGTAGGATATAAATGCAATCAATAAATCAATCAGGCAGTCAGTCAGTCAAAGTTCTCCATAAAGAGACTCTCCAGTGCTCACATTGAAATTCTTTTGACACGAGGCTGAAACATTTTATTTATGCAGCTATTTAAAACATCTAAGGTGGGGTTGTGAAAGCGGCCCTCCAGATGGTTGTTGCACTCTAATTCCCATTAGCTCCAGTCAGCATGGCTAATGCTCAGGGATGATAAAAGTTTTAGTCTCAATAACATTTGGATGGCCACATGATTACCATCTCTGGTCTATGTTTGAGGCTGAGTAATGGTTTTGATTGCTGTCTTCTATCATCATCATCATCTAAACAACTTATTCCGTATGTCTTTTCTTGTTGGGCACTTTTTTGATATTGAGTCACTAGCTTGGTGGATCAGGGAAATGCTGAGGATGTAGTATATCTTGATTTCAGTCTTGCTGCTGAGCAACAACATGCAGAGCTCAGTGGAGTGGGAGACCAGCCAACCAGAAGAATCTCTGAGGAGTACTTGCCTGGAGGCAGAGGCAGTATCTAAAGTCAGGTCCAGTCCTAGGATCAGGCAAACAGCAATCCACGTGGGTCAGGGAATCTGATGATCAAGGGTCATGACGAGCAGGAAGCAGCAAAGTAGGACCAGGAACTACAAGCATTGTTTCCTGAAGCATTTTATTTGTTCGGAGAACAAGGGAAATGTCAGGAAGGGGAAGTGCTCTAGTGCTCAAAGAAAGTGCTCTTGTGGTCCCTGGTTTCCCACAGGCATCTGGTTGGCCACTGTGAAAACAGGATGCTGAGCTAGATAAGCCATTGGCCTGACCCAACAGGCTCATCTTATGTTCTTATGACTAGGGCTGGCTAAAGAACTGTGGTAGTCTTTTGAGCCCAGCCTGAATTTGAGTGAGTCTCAAAATAGAGAGGGTCTTGTTGAATTGGTTGGGGGGGGTGTTGATCCCCAGTTCTTCTTGTGCCCTGAAGAAGGCAATGCCAGGCATGAAATAGACGACAGTAGGACTTTCTAGTCTGTAGGCTTACTGCTCACTTACCTCCACCTGAAGTGACGTTATGAAGGAACGACTGATGGCCTAAAGGCAATCCCAAATTTTCCAGATGACGCTGAATTTGATTTTCCTTGTCTGCAGAGGTCGAGGTCAGATCATTTTGTTCCCACTTGAGTACATTTTACGTCACTGAACTTTTAAAAGGCATTTAATTAATGCCTCAGAATGGCTGTAAGCGAATGTTAAACAAATTAATATGAACACGCTGAAGTGGATTTTTAGTGCTGGTGAGACGTGTTGGCATGACAGCTCTGCACATGCAAGACTGGGACAGAAAATGAGCATGGCAGGTGCCCCATCATGTTGCAAATAATTCTCAGGCCGATGGGGGCATGCCAGCAAAAGTTAGCGGTGACCAATAACATAACTAAATGTGGTCTTCTCATCAGAGGATTTGCAGACAGCCCACAAACTTCTACCCATGTGTGTGGTCTACCCACATGAGCAGTATGTCTGATCAGGATTCCATGAATGGGTCATGGAGGGAGGATTGTGGGTTGCTTATATTCATAGTGTGCAGAAAGTGCAGAGAATTTTTTCTCCCTCTCTCATAATGTTAGAACTTGGAGCTCTCCAATGAAACTGAATTTTGGAAGATTAAAGAATTTATTTAATGCTTGAAGTCTTGGCAATGCATTCAATTATTCAGTTATTTACTAGCATTCTTGCTCCGTTTTCTTTCTTATATGTGACAGACGTGTGCATTTAACACTTTACAGGTATTGTTGATCTTTGCATAAATGATCAAGCTGTCTGAAAGGCCTCCCTAGCAGGACATGCAAGAGAGCAATTGACTGAAATGGGACTAATTTTTGTTAGAGACAATGCTTTTGGTCTTGATTGTTTGATTCTAACCAACCTATGGAAACACTGATGCACATATAGACCGGTCTGGCTCCTGAGACCCTAAATTTCAGGGCATAAGAAGAGCATGGTAAATGCCCCCTTTTAATTCTTTTTATTTTCCTATGTCTGCAGTGCTGAACAGTTCAATCTATAGGAATCAATTCCCTAACCTAGGAATATACTCTGTATTGGTACTTATGTGACCTTCTGGCTGTCCATACAGGGAGAATGAGAATGGTAATCTATGCACTAATTGATGCCAGAAAGGATTCCATATTGGATTTGTGGAAGTGGAACTAGCTCCACCATATTCAGTTACTGTTCTGAGCTATAAGCACTTGATCTTTGTCAATAGCATATATGAAGTGTCCTGGTTTTCTAGTACCTCTCATAAAAGTACTAGGCAGAGCTCTAAATAGTACTGAGGCTAGTTAGAACAGAAAAGTATCTTTCCTGCAGTGTAAACCATGGCTTTCATCCTGGCCTTTCCCCAGTCTAAACTCATACTTCCCAAGTCTCAGAACCCTTTTCCCTTGTTGTTGTTTAGTCGTTTAGTCGTGTCCGACTCTTCATGACCCCATGGACCAGAGCACGCCAGGCACTTCTGTCCTCCACTGCCTCCCGCAGTTTGATCAAACTCATGCTGGTAGCTTCAAGAACACCATCCAACCATCTCATCCTCTGTCGTCCCCTTCTCCTTGTATCCTCCATCTTTCCCAACATCAGGGTCTTTTCCAGACCCTTTCCCCACCATCCTTTTAATGTTTTTTTTCCCCATACAATGACATCTACTTTTCTATCTGGTGGAGCTGACCAACCCATGAGGTGAGGTCAGGTGACTGCCTTGGATGGCAGGATCCACAGGGGCACCAGATCCTAATACGGATCTTTATTCCCCACTTGTCCCTGATGTAGATATTCACTCAGCCCTTCTTCCCTGGTGGGGAGGAGGATGCCATTTTGTGGTTTGCCTCAGGTGATAAAAGTTCTTGGGCCGGCCCTGCCATCTAGCCATATTGCCAAGCCACTCTGTGCTTTATTCAAGTTTAACCTAACTGGCAGGAGGAATCTTCTTCATTTCTGAAAAACCAGAATCCTTTAGCAGAAGACATTGGGCCTGGGTATGTAGATACTGCTTGGATTCATCCACTGAGCGATGTCTAGTTGAGTTGCATCTATAACCCACTTCGTGGGACCATAAGAAGCTGTTTTATACCAAGTCAAACCATTGGTCCATCTAGCTCCCTATTGTTGACACTGACTGACAGCAGCTTTCCAGGGCATCAGGCAGGGTTCTTCCCCGCCCTGCCCCCCCAGCCCTGCCTGGAGGTGCTAGAGATCAAACCTTGGAACTTTTGCATGCAAAGCATGTGCTCTGACACCAAGATACAACCCTTTTCCCAATCATCTAGATTCTTTTTTTTCTGTTCAGAAATCAGTATCACTGCTTTCTTTCCATCTCTTTATATTCACACCATTATGTCATGATTTGCCGTTGCCTTGCTCCACATCATTGATATTTTTTCTGCATTATGTGCATCAAGATGGATGTGAGCTCTTCATAATAATCAGGAACATCATCTAATGACGGCACTTTTAAGTCTGACTCGTGTTCTTGTGAAGTTTGCTTGAAAGTTGGTTGCTTTCCCCCTTCCTCTTTTCTCCATCCATTTTATTGTCTCGGGCCCCTCCCACCACTGGCCTGTGGCCTCCAAAAAGTTGCTCAGAAAGGGAATGCAGCCCTGAGGCTGAGAAAGGCCTATTCCCGTGGCATCTTGGCATGTGGCAGATGTGGGTTTCTGACCTACAGTTGCGCTGCTCTGCAACGAGATGGTCGTGGATTGGCCTTTGGAGCTTCACTGTGAGTGCTGCAAAAGCCGTTCCCATGACGACATGCCAGAGCTGATCCATGAGTACACCTTGCCGACATTCACACAACTGCTTCAGCCCAGCGCATGGGAGCTCTGGGGGATGGAAGTCAGCATGGTCTGACTGAAAACAATGACTTCCATGCGCTGCGAGGGTCATTAAAATAAGTCCCAAGTGTCTTCTTTTCAAAGGCTTTGCTAAGTTGCAAGGCAAAAGCCATTTGTTTAAAAGCTAGCTTTCATCTTTAACTCAGTCACAGCAGAAAAGGCAACCGTGTTTTGGACATGTTGCCAGTAGACCGCAGAACGGTTAATAAAAAATCTACTCCAATGTGTGTGCATTTAAAAAAAAGCTGAACGGCTTAATGTTCCCAGTGAATATCAAATAATAATAATAATAAGAGACAATTCAAGTGTGATTAGATAATCAAATGATTTTATATTTTTTTGCTCTGCTCCCAGTTTATTTTTAATTCCTGGTAGGCGTGAAAAAGGAAATGAACAAAAAAACCCACCCTATCTTTTGACGCTCGAGTGACTTGGATCTTGAGAACCGACAAGATGAAGTGACAGTTACAGGCCTGGGGTTTTTTAATTCTCCCTCCATCATTATCACAGTTAATAAGAAAAGCCAGGGAGGTTGCCCAGCACCGAAGGCTGGCCTGGCACACCACTTCATGTGCCCCATGAGATAATGTAATAATTCTCCAGAAAGCTCAAAATCATTTATAGAGGGAAGGGGCTTGGAATGCTGGGTAAGGGAAGATAGCAACAAAATGTCCTTGGGAAGGAATGGGGCTGGCTTAATGATTTAAGCATCCGATTTCAAATGCTTTAGGCTCCTTTCAAAGGGAGGTTCACATCCCAGCAGGATTGGCTTGATCCTTCTTTATTCCAAGGCCCAAGAGATAAATTGAGTTCCTTTCAGTTCCCCCTGTATGGGTCTTTCAGATAAGGTCTTAAACCCCAAGCACCTCTCGGCTTTGCGAGGACATTAAAAGTCCTAGGAGGCATTCCAGTAAGAACTGCTCAATGTATTCATCTTTCTACACTCTGTGAGAGTGCAGAGGAAATGACACAGGCCTTGA